AGTAATGAAAGTAGCTCTAATACAGAGACTTCATTATTAAAGTAAAACGTATGAAACTACTATGTTTGTTCTAAAACGTCTTACTCAAAGCAACTGATAATAAACAAGTTACACAGCATAAATATCTGGATTATGTGCATTAAGCTCTTCTAGAATAATCTGGCAACGAAATGAAAGAACAGAAAAATGGAGCCATCTCTACTCGGGATGTGACGGTACAGATCCTGGCAGTGATGTCATGGTTTGGTTCGTTTTAGGTAAAGTGTGCAGGGTTTCCCCCAGAAAATGAGTCAAGTCTGGCGGCTTCGGCCGTGGGGGGGGGGGGGGGGGGGGGGGCTCCGTCTCGCAGCGATCCTCCGTGACGGCCGGGGGGGGGGGGGGGGGGGCACACGTTCTGCTGCTGTTTCTCACCAGTACCAGCTGATGGAGGGCTCTAGTTGCGTTGCGCCGTTCGGGTCAGCGGACACGGTAGGGTCGGGGAGGGGGGCGGGGCATGACACTTAGCCTGGCGGGCCACCAGGCTTTTACAGCGCTGGGGGAAACCCTGGTGAGGCAAAAGGTGGAAATTAGGGCTGCACAATATATCGAAAAATGATCGTCAGCGGGATAACAGGACGTGCGATAGGCCCGTCGCAAAGCACGTCAAAAACGGCGATAAATGTTTGGTTCCGACATTTCCATCCGTGTCATACATCAACTTTTTGTAAACCAGCTCTGTTTTTTACGCGGAAGTATTATTCGAACAATCAAATGTAGTCCTTCTGATATGCGGCCAATCAGATGGGTCCATTAACGTAATACGCCCGCCCCCTTCGTAGACCCTTCGGACGGAAAGCAACACCCGAACTGAGTTAGCGGCGCCGTTCCCTTGTTCGTCATGCTGGCTCAGAGCAACGAACGCACTTTGTGCTGATGTTTCTGGAATCAGCGCTGCTTTCAAACGTGAACGCGAGTCTGCTCGGTGTCGTTAAGCATTTTTACCGGGCTGACTCCGACACGTACCGGTGAACCAACCCACCTTCATGTCGCTAGTATTCCACCGGGTGGTGATGTTAGCCCCAGGCTCCGGTTAGCTTCCAGCTAAAAGGCTACAGCACTCTCCTCCCAGTCCCACCCTGCTAAAGAGGGCCTGGAAAAGTTCCCCCACACATCAAAGTGATTTTTTCATTTATGGGCTTTTATAACCTTGTTAATCAGGATAGTTGATTTGCTGCTGCACATAAACTGTCAGTCAGAAGCTCTGCTAGCCGGTTATCTTAGAGGAGCTAGTTCAAATAGTTAGCTTGTTATCAGAATCATAGTTGCAGTTTCATCATCTGAGCTGCTTTTTAAGATCCAGGTAAACTTGTTCAATTTGGGGATAAAAACAAACATTTTCACATATTTTCCATGTAGTTTTTTGCCAGTTCCTCTTCTGAAAGGTAGACAATTGTTTTTCTCTTTCCCTCAGAAAATCTTAATATTCTCCTAGTTTGGCCCAGCCCAGTTCACTTCCCAATTACAGCAACAGCCTTATATCAGAACCACATAAGTGGAGAAAATTTGTTCCATTTATGCCGCGAGCCGCTTCTGCTAAACGTTCATTTCTGCAGTTAGCATAGGGCTAGACAGGAAATCAAAGTTTCAGTGTAAAACTTCTGGTAATATTTCAAAATAAATGTTGTAGATTACACCGGTACAAGTGACCTAGCAGCTTATTTACTCCCTGCATCGTTTGAGAGTTTTTCATGGCTTTTCATGGCAGTGGAGAGGAACAACATTATAAATGATATCAAACAGGGCTATCAAACACGATTTCCTTCTTCTTCTGCAGGTGGCATAAACATACTGTAACCTTTAAAGTCTCGAGAGATTTTGTGATCTCGCGACTCCAACGATGAGGATGGCGGAGAATCCGCTCTGTAACTCAGATTCTGATGCAGACTAGCGTGCAGAAAATCCCACGAGTAAAGTGTGAAGTCGAGGTAAGGGATGTGGTGGACTAGGGATGGGTACCGAATTCGGTACTTTTTAAGGTACAGACCGAGCACCGATTCACGTCATTTGAAACGGTGCCTCGTTTCGGTACCCATCCTTCACAACGAGAACTCGCCTGGACAGCTGCGCATGTAAGTGAGACATCCTCATCTTAATCTGCTCCGGTAGGTAAATAAAATGTTTAAGATAACGTTAGCTTGATTTGTTAGCTTCCGTTCCGCTAGTGGTGCGTTCGCTTTCTCCTCGGAACTTCGAATTTCCGACTAGAAGAACATGAACGCGCTCTAAAGTTTGGCTTCCCTTTACTAAATGCGACGGGTGATTGGGTGAAGATGAAACCAGCGACAACGATCTAAGTGTGAGGCATCATCGTTTTAATCTGCTCCAGCAGCTAAATAAACTGTTTGAGATAACCTTAGCTTGATATGTTAGCTTCCATTGCCACCATTGTTACCAGCTAGTGGTGCGTTCGCTTTCTCCTCGGAAATTCTAACTTCCCAGTAGGAAAAATCAAAGAAAAAGGACGGCAAAAGGAATGAAGATACACAGTAAATTTAGTTCACAGTAAAGATGTTTGCTTCAGTTTAGTTATCAGCTTATAAAACTACAAGGACAATGTTAAAATACAAACAGTTGTATGTTATTTATCGTGATATTTATCAAATATTGTTATGTATTGAGAAAAATATATATTTAATTAAAAAAGAGAATTAAAATATTAAACAAAAGTGTCTAAAATTGGTACCGTTAAGTACCGGTATCGATTCCTAGGTACCGGGAATTAGTACCGAATCGATTCAAATGTCAAAGGTACCCATCCCTATCTGCTACAGTAATGTCTCATGGAAATCACATTTGTTTTGTTTTGACAACAAACTCAAAAGAAACTGCCAGAAATGCTTGCACTTGTGCTAAACCAGACCCACCTTGTCCCACTCCCCCTCCATGACATGGTTGCGAAACTTGGAAGCCGAGGGGTGTTCCAGTCTGCAGCCCGACTCCTGCATCAGCAGGTCCACCGTCTGACTGCAGACAACACAGGCAGGGAGGGAAGAGAGCCACACAAAGTCACGCTAATGTACAGACACAAGACGGTGGAAAACATTAAAATAAACAAAATAAGAGAACGACTCTGACATTAAACAACTGTCAGCATTCAGCGTGTAATCACAACTCAGAGGCCATTTTAAAGCGGAATATTAACATCACCGGAGAGATTTTAGTGCATTTAATTTAAAGGTTAGCTATTGTTGACGAGCTGGCGGCAGCATCTGTACCAACCCAGAGCAGTAGTGTCAAGATCAGATCACGACTTGTGGATGGTAGGGGGGTCATTAACATGAGGCGAGCTCTCTCAGCGTCTGACATCACCCTCTCTCAGCCCATCAACCGTGAACCATCTGTCCGAACGCCAGCTCTTGGCTAAACTCACCAGAAACAGGCCTGCTGAGACGTCTCTGCCAGATAATGAAAATGAGGATGCGATTGAGGGGGGGGGGGTGAAGGAGGTGGGTAACACCTTCAGTACAATGACATCATTCTCAGGTATCAATAAAGTGGCGCAGCAGCTCTGTGTTGAGCTTTTCATCCAGCTGACTGCTCCACTGATCCATCTCTTGCATTTCCACAGCTGAAATCTAGGGGCTCTGTTTCATACCAGGATGTCATGTATTCTCCATCTCACCCCCCCCACTGACTCAATCCAGCAAGGTTTTATATAAAACCGTGTAATGACTGCGTCCTCCCTCAGATCAACAGAGGCGCAGCGATGAAGAACAGCAACCGCAACTGTTTTCTGAAAAAGATGAGCACACATACATCTGCTGAAAGCCCCACCAGGCTATAATTAGATCCAAGCACAGCGTTTCCATCTAAAACAGCTGGAGGAGAGCGCATTCCTCGGCCGCCATCAAACCATCCGATTCTGCTCATTTCAGGACGAATGTCGCCCACAAGGTGCAGTTTTTAAACATGCTGGAATAAACGCACGTCACGGGTCATGACTGGCTGCTGACACCGTGTGATGAGGGAGGAATAAGGCATTGATCCGAGGGGAAAGGACAACGATCGGGAGTGAAAGACGTTAAATTTATGCTTAAAATGATGAACATGCGCATTATTGGGGGGGGGGGGGGGGGGACGTTATTACAGCGTTTATATCATCACCGACTCATTTAAATGCCTTCGAAAACACAAATGAGGCGAACACGTAACTATTTTGCAGCCAAGGTGAGAACAAACAACAACAATCCATACAGTAACCTTAAAAATTTACCGCAATTTTTGCGCAACCGCTAAATTAAATAAATAAATGTACGCACCGACCTCGCTAATCCTGCTGAAATGTTACACGTAAAACCTGCTAGTTTTCATTTTATTGTTTAATTTAACTAAACAGCGCTGGAAAAGTTAAAAGTCTCCCGTTTTCTGTGAATCAACGCTGGATGATGTCATGGCTTTTATCCATCCAGGGCGAAAATCACATCTTTTGTTAGCTTGTTATGGCGTACCCGTCACAAAACGCACTCTGTTTTCATCATACACGAGCGGGATCTAAAAAGGTTATTTTGTGCTTTTATAAATGTTTGATGAACAGCTCGGCGACGCTGGTATTGTGTAAGATGGACCCCTTCTGTCCACCAACTGCGAGCTCTCCGGCTAACTTACTACCCCATCCCCCCATGTTTGTGTCTGTCAAGCGCTCTAATAGCGCCTTAACTACCTGCAACATCGCAGTTTCACACGAACCACCAGCGACATAAACGCCACTTTAGTTCGTATGCGCGGATATCAAACGTCTGCGGAAGTTTTTTCAAGACTGACATATCTCAGAAACTTACTTTAGCCCCAGTCCGTGGAGATGTTGCCCTATTAATCGTATTACATCTTCCTCCGCCTGCGATAGCCGTTTCTTCTTTTTCAAAGAGCCGACCTCCGAGCTCGAGGTGCCCGAGCAGGGCCCCGCTGAAGAGCCATTACTGGTGCCGACGCCGTTACTGTTATCCGTGTTGGACAGGAGCCCGTTGGAGTGGCTTCCACCGGCCGAGGATGACTCCCCGTTTTGAGCACTGTTAAGGCAGGAAAGCTCCGAGGATTCTTGTTCCTGTCCTGCCCCGTTTGACTGCATGATGCCGTGGAGATTGTTCACAACACTACGATTAAAATGGATGGCCGATGTGGTTTGTGAATGAGCAGCAAGTCCCAAGACAACACCAGAGAGGCCTGTTAGAACTGCTGAAGCCCCGGGCTCTCCTGCTCCCTCCGCCGCCGAGGCTCGGTGCTTCTTCCGCGGGGGCGGCGACGCTCCGCCGGTGTCCGAGTCGGAGGAGGAGGAAGCGGAGGCCAGAGTTTCCTCACCGAGAGCGGCCGTGGTTAGAAAACGGCCGAGCTCCGGGTGGGAAATAAAGGTTACGCTTCCAGACTTCAAGGCCTAGTTGTTGCGTCCAGAGCGCACTGCCAGTTAGCCCGTTTTTGTTGATGTTTCTCTCAAAACAGCTGCAACTCTAATGGAGTCCTGACGCAATGACGTAAACGGAAATTCCTACACTGCCATGCTTCCGGGTAGAATTATAATAACAACCGTCCGGCGCAAAACTCCCCAATTTATTTTATTTTATTCATCGCGCAGTTTGGACTCTTTTTTTAATTATACGTAATAATTAAAATCAAGAAAATTTCTAAATAACCCTTAAATGAGTTTTTATCTGCAGAATCGATACTATTATTATTGTTAAATAAAAATAAATATACACATAAATAAAGTAACAATAAATAATACAATAAATTAAAATAGAATCAAGTGATGTACAAACACCCAGTTTCAATAGTTACCTGAAATCTCTCCAGTTACATAATGGCCGAATATGAAGGCAGAAAAATAAAAAAGTTCATCGTGTTTCAAATGGTCATTTATGTACATACAGACAGTAACGTGATGATTTTATTATCTAAGTAAAATGCTTAAATTCTTACATATACAGAAAATGTGATACATGACATTAAAACATTATGTTGTTAAGATGGAGAACAAAATAAAATACACAAGATATTCAGCTAGCAAAAATATACTCCGCATAGTTAAAAAGTAAAACTAGTATACCCACCATGTCTTCTACTGTATTTCTTACTACACCTAAAGGTGTGGTTTTAAATATTGTAAATACGATAATCTGAAAACGTAAAAATGCATATACAATAACATTTAAAAAGTGTCAGTTAATATATTCTTTCATTCTACAAAATCTGAATGAAATTTTTTTGTTATTTAAGTTTTTTATTAAGTTTTCCAAATTTTTACATACAAACAAAAACAAAATACCAAAATAACCCACCCCCTTACAGCACAGGCTAGCTCAAAACCACACACAACCACAATTCATAATAATTTCAAAACATGCTGTCCAACAACTTTTATATCTTTTTACCAATAAAAAAGAAAAATTCATTCCAGGTTTCAAAATACGAGTCTTTTTTCCCTTCATTTTAGCAATTTATAATCATAAGATGCAATTTCTGTCATCATTATTATCCAGTCTCTGCAAACAGGTGCCTCAAAACTCTGACTTTAGCTGCTGAAACAAAACCTGTAAGGGCCAGGGCCCCTGCCGTTGTAGATATGCTCGGTACACACGACGAGTCTCCTAATAAACAAAGTCGAGCAGTTTCCGGGAGCAGCATATCCAGCCACTCTTGCATTGTATTCAATATTTTTTTCCAAAAAGGTTGAACATGTGCATGACCACATAGAATGAATAAAAGTACCTTCCTGCCTTTAACATTTCCAGCATAAATTATTCTTCATTAAACCCATTTAATAAAGATGATCCGGTGTAAAATAATATCAATGGATTATCTTATAATGTGTCCGCTTATTATTATAATTTTTTTTTCATTTTTCATTTATTGACATTAAAATAAAAATACAGAAAAAAATTGCTACGAGCCAAAATGAAAAAGGGGACAGAAAGAAGAAAAACTTATGTTATCTGCCCCTTTTAACTAAAATAACATTAATACAAATGAAACAATCATGATTCTTAAAAAAAAAATTGAACAATATAGTTCCTGGACTGGTTGTCCCACACAATCTCAAGCCATGAATCGAGAAAAAAAAGAGAAAACGAGTTACACAGAGAGAAGCATAAAGTTATAGACATCTATACATACATATACACACAAATGAATACATAGACTTGTTTCCTTATTTATTTATTTATTTATTTATTTATTTATTTATTTATTTTCTTTCATCCACCCAACCCCACTTCCCTCACACATTTATGTAACGGATCTAAATAGGTTAATCATTTCATGTTTCATCTCTTTTTTGAAAGTCAATATTGTTTTTGCATTCTTGATTTCAGTATTTAATTTATTCCACAATTGAACTCCATATAAGGACACACAATGTTCCTTTATGAGTATCCAGAGTCTAGGTTTGTTAAATAATTCATGTCCTTTTAAATCATATTTGCTATGTCTTTTTGAAAATCTTTTCATTAATCCTGCAGGTACATTCCTTTTGTTTGCATTATACATAAATTTTAAAATATTGTAGTCCACCAGATCATAGAATTTTAGTGTTTTTAATTTTATAAATAATGGATTGGACGAATCTCTGTAGTTGCTCCTTGTGATTATTCTTATTGCTTTTTTCTGTCAGATGTAAATGGAATTTGTGTAAGTTTTATAGGTTGTTCCCCAGATTTCAATGCAGTAGTTCAGGTACGGTATGATCAGTGAGTTATATAACAAATATAGTGAATTATTATCAAGCAACCCTTTTGCTCTATGTAACAGTGCAACAGTTTTAGATATAGTAGTTTCGACACCGTTTATATGCAGCTTTCCTCGTGCTTCCCTGGTAAACCATCCCATATTGGACATTATCCTTTGCCATGAATCTCCATCCAACCATATGCTTAAATCCCTCTGCCAAACATGCCTTAAGCCATCATAATTTCCATATAATACTTTGGCTGCCATCTTATAAAACATAGATGCTGAATGATACTTTTCTGCTAATTTTAAATAGAGCTGTACAACATTGTCCTCTTCAGGCAACTCCTTAACTAAACTGTCCAAGCTACTTCTTATTTGGAAATATCTCCATAAATTACCCAAACTATCCACGTTGTAGCCTCAAGTCCCGATAAGATTTAATTGTTCTGTTCTCAATTAGATCCTCTAATTTTCTCATGCCCCCCTCTCTCTCCACATATTCCAACAGATGACTTCCTTTCCCACCCTATTGCTGGGTTACACCAAATTGATGAATATAATTGTTTATTCTGGGATATCCTTAACCGTTTGTGGAGTTTGATCCAGATATTTTATTAGATTACTCTCTTTATACTCAGCTTCCTTCTTTTGTGCTCTTTTGTGACAAAAAAAATCTGAATGAAATTTAAAAGACAATCTTTATTATGTACCATACCATACCATACCATACCATTTTATTTATAAAGCGCATTCAACATGGCATTACAACCAGACAAGGCGCTGTACCATCAAAGGGTTGTTTTGATGAGATTCATTTGTGAAGAAGAAAAACCAGAAATATACAGGACGTTTTTTTTTTGGCAAACATACTTGAAATTATAAGGTTGATTAAATAAATACCTGCATGCTTCCACAAAAGCAAACAGGCTCTATTTCCCTGACTGGTGTCCCTGAGGACATTAAGTTCAAGTTCATTTTCGGGGAAATGTTAGAAGACTGCAGGAGCTCAGGCATGTGTCAACAAATCAATCAACTCACAGATAATCGTAACATTGAGCCATTGTGTCAGTCATTTAATCTGGTCAGGGCAAAACAAAAACAAAAAAAAACAGTGTTCATTAACTCATTCACTGCCAATGTTTTTACTGTGTGGGCGTCGGACGAGCCCCCACACCGTGAGAACAAACATCTCAGCTCTAAAGCCGATCTTAATCTGCACACGTCACGTGATCAGGAAGCAGAACATCCATGTGTTAGGAGATCGTTTTGGGCCGCTGCTGTAAAAAAAAGTGAGGCGCGAACCGGAAAAGCTTCTACCGATCACAATTCAACAACGGATTATGAAAGAACGGATAACGCTCGAAACACGCGGATTCTTCCTGATGTAAGAGGTGAGTCTCCGCTTTGTTTTGGTTGTTTTGGCGTCGACATCATGCTAGCGCGCAACGTTCTGTGACTCTTAAAAAACAGTAAAAATGGTGAGAAACGCTGGCAGCGAGTGAGTTAACTTAACCAGATACGTTTTTCCTACAGTGTTGTAGCACATTAAGAAATTAACATTTAACTTACATTTAGCAATAAACAAAAATGTTTTAAGAATTAAAAAACACGGCATCTAAAAACCTTAGAAAATCAGAGCTAATATTATTAACAATGTAAGAAAAAACATTCAGAATGGATTATTTTTGCAAATCTGAAATTAAAGAAATTACATACAAGCCAGGTGCAAATATTGGCAAATAATTTAAATTGAAGACTCCAGGTTTTACAACACACAGTTTCATGAAGTTTCATTTAATAATATAAATGTAGACGTTCTGCGAGATATTCTAGAACTATTTACGTCTTTTCAAAATAAAATCTGATCTGAAATGTCGCTTTAAGGCTATAACAGTCATAGCTGATGGTCATAGAACTGTATTATGCTGAGCCAGTCTGTGTCTGTTTCCTTAAACTACAGAATAATGAACTATTCGTCAAAATAAACCATGAAGGAGAGAGGTGGAGCATGTTCAATATTATGCTGAAGTCTATAAGCATGCTGATCTCATTTAATCAGATTAAAAGTGTCAGCAATGGTCCTGGACGTGGTGTGGCAGAGCTGTGGTCCCTGGACCCCCGTTACAGCCGGGTTTATCTCTCCCTTTCATGAAAAAAGTAAGAAGCTCCCCTTTTCCCTTGACAAAAATGGGCCCTCTTCGAATGAAGCGGAAGCTGTATTCTTTCAGGATGTCGTAGCAGTCTTCCACCACCTGAGGGAGACAGCAAGGCAAAACACAAAGTGTTGGTACACAGGTGAGCAGCATCCTAACAATAAAAGCCAAATTATGTTTGAGCGGGGGACTTGTTTGTGAGTATGTGCAGTTAGTTTGGATACAATGGTGTCAAATTTCTGTGTTTCATGCAAAAACAGGGAATCAATATGCAAATTATTTTGTGTTTCGACTATTAGGGGAAAAGTTTAATCATCAATAAGTTAGTCAGTTTGAAGAATAAAGTCTGAACTTTTTATGTGAAGTTCTGTCAAAACGTTATGACCAATTAATATCTTACCTGCAGTAGATAGCTTTTGGAACAGCCTCAGTTTGATGAAACTGAGTTTAGTTCTAACCTGATTGATGAGCTAACCGCTAGTCCAAGCAGCATCAAGACCAAAGTGGATTGCTGCTGTTTTAAAAGCACATGTGCTAAAGTGACCCTTTACAAGACTAATGTTATGTCACTCAGACCCTAGCCCCCTCTGTGGTCAGAAAATTGCACTTGCAACTTCAGAGTGGCTGACCTATCCCTGTCAGTCTTTTAAGTGGAGCTGAGATGTGCTAGCGCCGGATTCTGCTTCAGGCATGTTTTCTGCATGTTTTAGAGAATGAACACAACTGATTTGTTTGACTTAGTGATGAATCACTCCTGTAGAAACGTATGACAGCTGAGGAGACATTTCAGCTGTTAGATAAGAAGAAGAAGAAGAAGAAGAAGAAGAAGAAGAAGAAGAAGAAAAGTTCATTTCTATAGCGCCTCTCAAGATAAAAATCATGAGGCGCTTCACAAAAACAAAAAATGTAAAAATATAAAAAAGCATTTAGAAAATGTTTAAAAATATTTTTAAAATGAGCAAAAAATAGACAATTGTGATAAAAAATGTTAAGAAAGAGAGAGAGTGAATGGGAAAGAGGGAAATCAGTGGATCCTGAGGAAGGTGGAATAGGTGGGGAGAGCAGAATAAAGAGAGAGAGGTGAAGAAGGTCATACAAAAGCCAGCTTGAACAAGTGAGTCTTCAGCTGCTTTTTAAAGGAGACCACTGAGTCCACTGATCTCAGGCTCAGGGGGAGAGAGGTCCAGAGTCTGGGGGCCACAGCAGCAGATGATCTGTCACCTTTGACCTTTAGCCTGGTGCTGCACAACCAGTAGGCTTTGGTCACTGGACCTCAGGGACCTGCTGGGGGTGTAGGGACTGAGAAGATCACCAATGTAAGATGGTGCTTGTCCATGTAAGGCCCTATAGACCAGAACCAGGATCTTGAAATGAACCCTGAAGTTGACTGGCAGCCAGTGAAGCTGGAGGAGAAGCGGGTTGATGTGGGTGTGTTTGGAGGACTTGGTCAGAAGCCGAGCACAGGCGTTCTGAACCACCTGTAGACGGTTCAGGGAGGTTCTGCTCAGACACGTGAAAAGAGAGTTACAGTAGTCTAAGCGTGAGGAGATGAAGGTGTGGAGAACTGTCTCAAGTTCAGAGCGAAACAGAATGGGACTCAGCTTAGCAACGTTCCTGAGATGGAAGAAGGAAGAGCCAACAAGAGAACTGACATGAGAATCCAGGGTGAGAGCTGGGTCAAAGGTCACGCCAAGATTCCTGACAGAAGGTTTGGTGTGAGAAGCAAGCTGACCAAGAGAGTCTCTGACTTTGGGAACCAGCTTGTCTGGGGCACAGATGAGGATCTCAGTCTTGTCTTCATTCAGCTGTAGAAAGCTCCCACCATCCAGGTTTTGATAGAGTCTAAGCATGTGTGTAACAGCTGCAGCTTAGACATCTCATGGGGCTTAAAGGAGATGTACAGTTGGATGTCATCTGCATAAAGATGGTAGGAGATTCCTTTGAAGGAGCTCAGGATGTGCTGAAGAGGAAGCAGATAGAGGAGGAAGAGCAGAGGCCCCAGCACAGAACCTTGTGGGACACCATGGGTAAGAGAGGAGGTGTTAAAAAGATGGACGCACAGCGAGGAGTAGAGTTTCAGTTTTGATTTTACTATCGGACAACAATGCATGCAGGCATTGTTTCATACATTTTTTTCTCTGCGTTTATTCTGACAGGATCAACACAGATTCCACTGAAAAGTGCAACAGCCAGTTAATTCAATTCAATTCAATTCAATTCATTTCAAAATTACTTTATTAATCCCAGAGGGAAATTAGAGAATTAATCTCAGCTAATGTCATGAGTCTTTATGCCTTTATGGGTCAGTTTTGTCTGCAGGGAAGATTTTGTTTAAATGTTTAAAAAAATCAGTGTTCACTGCCACCTAAGACACGTTCCACTGACCATATATGAGCTTTCCAATTATATATTGCGTGTGCACTTATTTCCAATCCAATCCAATTTTATTTATAAAGCGCATTCACAAGGCATTACAACCAAACAAGGCGCTGTACACTAAAAATGTTAGATTAATTAAACCGGCGTTATACAAACATGTCGAACACAGATAAAAGATAAAAAGGAAATACAACAAAATTCCCAAAACTAACAGCTAAAAATCAATAAGACACAGGGTGAAGTAAAAATTAGAAAAAACATTTTAAAAAGAACCTCAACAGTACGGAAGTCAATAATTGTGGAGTCCATTTTTAAACAGTGCAGATGTAAGTGATGGTCATAATTATGTTATATAAGCTAGGTTGAAGTAGTGAGTTTTCAGGCGTGATTTAAAAATGCTAGCTGTTGGTGCTAGCCTCACTAGCAGTGGTAATGCGTTCCACAGCTTTGGTGTACAGACAGAGAAAGCCCTTTCTCAACGGCTTTTTAAACGTGCATTCGGAACAGCTAGGAGGAGCTTATTTGACCCTAACCCATGCAAGGGAGACAGCTGACAATGGAAACATGTGTCACCGAGGCCCTCTTCACTCTGGACTAATCTGCCAAGCTCATTACGACCTATTACAACACGGCTGTACCACTTATGGAAAATCTGCTTCAGTGTGAAGGCAATCATGACGTTGCTACACTTTTCTTCTAACCCTTACCCTAAACCCTAACCCTAGTCTCACACATATCCTATGCCATAAGCCCATGCATGGAAGTAATTTTTTTTTTTGGGGGGGGGGGGGGTGCCCCACCCCCACCCCCCCCCCCACACACACTTTTTCCAAAGTCAAGTTTTTACCCCTGCACTTTTTAGCATCCAAAAACAATAAATTGACACTGGTTGAGCTCTAGGACCAAGCAGAAAACAACCGTTTGTGTTGAAGCCTGTTTCTCATTAAAACATACTGTAAAGATACCCCCCCCCCCCCCCCCCCCCTACAGTGAAAATTACGTCCATGAGCCCATGATCTCACCCACCTGGGGGGTCTTTGAAAGGTCTTGATGATGTTTGCTGGCATGCATTAAGAACACATTAGGCTCTTGAGCATAAATAAAACATTAATAGCAAAGCCAAGGTGGTTCATTCCTCCTGCTAAAAGGGGGGCCTTGCGATGAAGATCAGGCGAATGAACAGATCCGATCAAAAGTGGTTCCTCAGAGCAAATACTTTCTGTTTTAATAATAATAATAACAATGCATTTTATTTCAAGCGCTTTTCAAAGCTCTCAAGGTCACTGCACAAGACAAAATATAAGGAACAGCAAGCAATACAAACAACAAGAAATAATTGCTAAGAGTAATTCCCAAGGGTAGAGTGGATGGAAGGAGGACAGTTACAACGAGTAAGCCAGGCGGAACATGTGAGTTTTGAGTTGAGACTTGAAGGTTAATAAGGAGTTTATGTTGCGGACGTCAGGCGCTAGAGCGTTCCAGAGTTTTGGAGCTGAGTGGCTGAAAACTCTGGCTCCCATAGTACAGAGACGTGTGCGAGGAACAGACAGGGAAGGTGAAGATGATGATCGGAGAGAGCAAGTGCGAGTGACAATGTGGAGGAGATCAGAAAGATATGGGGGAGCGAGATTATGGATGGCTTTAAAGGCATGAAGAAGTATCTTATATTATTATTATTATTTGACAGGGAGCCAGTGAAGTTGTTACAGGACAGGGGTGATGTGATCAAAAGTGGAGGTCTTGGTGATTATCCGGGCAGCTGAATTTTGGACTAACTGTAGCTTGTTGAGTGATTTTAGAGGGAGACCGGAGAGGAGGGCATTACAGTAATCGATGCGACTGGTGACCAGGCTGTGGACCAAAATAGCAGTGGAGTGTTGACACACACTCTCCTTGTGATCAGATTTGTCACGAACAGATTCGTTTACCTGGATGTTCCCCATCACCCCAGTTGACTCCATTCTGCTGGCCACGTTCACCGTGTTCCCCCAGATGTCATAATGAGGTTTACGAGCTCCAATCACTCCAGCTAGAACACCTCCTTTATTCATACCTGGAGGAAACAACGGGAGGGGATGAACACACACACCTACAAACACACACACACACACATTCCAGCACACACTGACCGATGCGCAGCATGAAGTTATTGAAAGACTGTTTGTTGAGGTTGTCCAGCGTCACTTTCATGGCCAAGGCAAAGTCTGCTAGATCAGAGAGGTGCTGCCATCGTTCTATCAGAGACCGGTCCTCTGGCTGTCAGACAGTATGGAACATTTTTATCATCACAACTTAACCCTTTGATGCATGAATTATGAAATCTTCAACCATGATTTTTGAAAAAACAATTTTTTTCATTCGTGTTTAGGTGTGAATGAAACAAATTTCAACAAATATTTTTTGTAAAATTTTATAATTTACAAATAGTTTATTACATGTCCACCTCAGTGGACAGCATGCATTCTGAGCATGAAATATGTTGGGTTGGCTTACTGAAGTCCAAATGGAGGGGCTCAAATAAAATAAAGTCTTCAACAGCTGTACTTAATAGCAAAAACAAATAAATAACAATTTTGAGTACCTGTCCACTGTAGTGACCATTATGCATCAAAGGGTTAAAGCATGGACGTAATTTTGGGGGGGGGGGACAGGGGGGACATGTCCCCCCCACTTTTTCCAAAGTCAAGTTTTGACCCCTGCACTTTTTACCATCCAAAAACGACATTACGCTATATTAAATTGACACTGGTTGAGCTCTAGGACCAAGAGGAAAACAACCGTTTGTGTTGAAGCCTGTTTACCATTAGCGCATACTATAAAGATACCCCCCCCCCGTGTCCCCCCCACTTCTAAAGTGAAAATTACGTCCATGGGTTAAAGCATGAACCCTTGTGACGAGTTGGAACAACTATGAGGTGAAAGGACGGCACCTTATGACTGCTGTATCCATTTGTGTTACTCTCTGGGGTGAGTCCGGATGCAGCCATGTAGGTGCTTCCAATTGTCTTGATCTTAGTGATGCACCGAAACTCTTCTCTGTCTAATAACTAAAGGGAGAAGAAGACACTGGTTGCATCCTGGTGCCACTGAAACACGGGTGTGATGTTATTATGTTCAGTGCCATAACCCACGCTGTCAAAGTCTGAGATGATCTCATTGAGAATCCTGAGACACTCAATGCCTCCGTTATTGATGCTCTCTTCAGTGTAGAAATCAGAAAAGTTTGGGATGGAAGCAAACATCACTCCTATTTCATTATAAGACTGGCTGTACAGCTCCTGCAAACAATACATCGAACATTGCTCATTCACTCGGCAACATGTTTTTGGAGCAGACCACAAGGTGGCGATGTTGCACATTTAATTACGATGACAGAGGCTTGCAGAAATCACGTACCTCATCTCTCTTTTTAGAGCCCAGGAAGTGTTTAGCCACATGTTCTGGCAGCATATTGGTGACCAGCGCTTCATTCCAACGCCTCATCTCGAATACCCTCTCCTTCTGGTCGTGCACTCCGATCTTCCACAGGAACAGCTTCCTGGACTGTCGCTCCAGCTGCATGCGTGAAAGGTTATTCAAACTAAACGTATTAGCGCAAAGTTCTGATTCGAAACGACAATAACTCACATGTCGAGCAAAGAAATAAAACCCAATCATCATGACAATAACCATCGTTGTCATGAGATACTTAGATGGCACCATGGACATTCTGAGGAAAGAAAAAATACGCTGAAATACAACTATAAAGTCCAAAAAAAGTGAATTTCTGCATGAAATTTGATCAATTTCTTACCGGAAGGAGGCAAACTGTATGTAGTCATACAGATCATATATGTCCCGCCAGCTGTAGATGTTAACGGCTCCTGTTGCTGTGACGACCAGGATCATGAGGCCTAATTTGATCAGGTGACTGACCTGCACCAACATGGCGACTGCAATAAGGGACATCACGGCCATGTAGCTGTAATATTTAGGATTTTCTGCACAACCTCGGTCACCAAGTGACTCCAACATGGGCCCAAAGCTGCTGTTGGAAACCCGAAGGGATGGTGGCACACAAGTCAACTGCAGCAGTGAAAATGACAGAAAACAAGGACATCAGAATGAAACAGATGACATCACCCACATGGAAAAGTTAGTAAAAGTGCTGATATGAATGTGTTAATGGTTTTTCTTGCTAATTCTGTTAATTTGGTGGTTTTAAATGAAATATTTTGTGTGCAAAATCAGACTTTTGTAGAACAAAAGCACCCTATCAATACAAGATCTCTGATTTAACATCACAAAGTCCTTTTGATGGTAAGATTGTGTGATTTCATGTGCTACATACTAACTGTTCAACTCTATAATCGCGATTTCAGCTTAACCAGGAAGTTTGTTCTGGGAAATGATCAATTATGTCGGGTTTCCTGCTGAGCGGCCTTGGAGGCTACCTGGCTTAGCGGAAAATTAACGAGCTGACGAGGAATATTGGCCTGATCCCGGAGCTCAGAGGTGGTTTGCATCGCGCTGTGAATTCACAGACTCAAATAATCGTCGAGATAAATCGTAAGCTTGGGACTTTGGCGGAGATTCATTCTTTAGCACAAAAGATGGATGCCATCAAGGATAGAGTGGACGAATCAGCACGGATTGGGATAAATTAACGTCCATTATTGGGATTTTGAGAGGTTGAGGACCAACAGACTGTAAGACAGAGGGGAAATTATCTCTGTCTGGCCCCAAAACAATTACTAATTGGAATCTGGCGCCCTTGAGCCTGCAAGGCTCCAACGAAAACTCCCCCTCAGAAGATATGTGGAATGTGCCGTCGCTATGGCAACTCAACTCTGTCTCCTATCCCAGCCTGGGCGGGACTGTGGGAAGGCCACTGAAGCGTCCAGGGTCACTGCAACCCTCCAACCCTAAATGCTCCTCCCCCTATCCACACTGAGGTGACATGCGCTGCTTATTGTTGCTGCAGGAACTGAAGTGGGGTTAGTCCCAACCCACCATCCCACCTAGTGAACACTTGTGTTGTGTTGTCTGAAGTTTGTTGCATATCTGTCTGTCTGCAACACGTTCTCACTCCCAGCGCGTCAAAAACAAACGCTTGGTCAGCCACCCTCTACGTCAGACCCCTGACACCAAAAGTGCCCTTTTTCGTTACATATGTGCGAAAAGGGGTTTTCCCCTTTTCTAACTGCAGATCCCAATGCAGCGTAAAACTGACGTGATGAGATATCCGCTGATGCGGCACCGAACCAGCTCATTTAACCGCACCTAAACCGTAATGTTTCACTATTTATAACCTTCCCCTCTCCCTCATCCTAACCTTAACCCTCTTGCTACCTAAACGTTACTCTCACTGTGATCAAGCGTTTGTTTCCCATCCATTCTGACTGTGAATTTTCGTATTTGCCGCCCAAGAGGAACGTTAGAACATACCATCTGGCGAGGGGGAGGTTACAAATACCCTCTACTTTTAACCTCCACCGTGGTAGTTGAAACCTCCCCCTCGTGTTGCCTCGGTCCAAACTCGACCAATGACGAGGCGGCTCCCTCCGTTCACTTCATAGAGCCGGCTTTTAGAGCGATCGACACATCACTAACGTGTTCGCTAGCAAGATGGTTAAGGTTAGGATAGGGGTGAGGGGAAGGTTAAGTAAGAGGATAAGGTTAGGGTGAGGTACAATGAGCTTGTTTGGTGCCCTGGCTGCGGACATCTCATCATGTCAGTTTTACGCTGCATTGGGATCTGCAGTTACAAAAGGGAAAAAAACCCTTTTCGCACATAAGTAACGAAAAAGGGCACTTTTGGCATCAAGGGTCTGACGTGGAGGGTGGATGACCAAGCGTTTGTTTTTGACGCGCTGGGAGTGAGAATGTGTTGCTGTCTGAGGTGTTTTTTGCAGAGCAAAGCTGCCCTCCCGGTGGAGGGTAACTCTGAAGTGCCTTTTTTCCCTCCACCTGAACCAATCCTCATATAAACCCTCTTATCTCTATTAAGGCAGCACGACTCAGGGTTGCGAATGACCACAGTCACCAGTTCTTGTCATGTGTCTTGCCCATGTACATTATGTCTGATCTTTGAATTGTGTGTACTGAAACTCTAATTTCCCTCTGGGATTAATAAAGTATTGATTGATTGATTGTTTCAGGAACTAGCCGAATGCCAGATCAGAGGAGAGCTGAAAACGACAGAGTCTTATTTCTTGGTATTTGGACATCTTGCCTCTGATTGAATAACAGCAACATGACCCTACCACTGACTTGTGCTGCGACATGGATGTTTTATCTCCACAAATAACAAGCCTGAAGGAGTTCTGCTGTGTGATGAAGTTGCTAATGCTAACAGTTAGCTTCTACTGGCTGAGGTGTTCTCTGCTGTTTCCTGGAAACTAAACCAACAACAGCCTTCCCCATTGTGAGTCAAGATGGGTGAGCCATGAATGTAGTGACAGGGTGACGTAGATCGTTCAAGATTTTCAAATCCTAGAGTTTCACCATCTATTTTCCATCAGAAGCTAATGCAGGAGATCGGTGTAGGAGACTATTTTCATGTTCAGACTGCATGAAAAACTCAGAGTGACTGAATAAAATCAAAGATAATAAAAAATATATGGTTTTTCAGAGATGTGCCACATGAGAAATCCCCCCCACATGAATCAGAGGAAAAAATTCTTCCGTCACATGGGAACATAAAAATAATTTCTATTTTAAAACAGGAATTAGCTGCAATGGACTGCATTCATATTTCTATACTCCATATGTTACAAATGGTTGTAATTTTAGACACTTCTTCTAACGGTACAATTGCCACTTACATTCTTGCTAAGCCACTAAAGCTGATGTTTACTTTTAGCATCTACATGCCAGACCTCGGAAGCAGCCGAGTGTGTAGCAGGTTTCTCTCGTGAGGCCGAGCCAAATGAGCCAGAAGGCAGCAAGACAGACAGCTAATGGACCCCGGTGGGAACATGTAGTCAGACAGGTAAAAGGCAGCGACAGTTGCATGAGTAGAAAGTGGAAACACACTAATGGAAAGGAGCCCATGCAGGAGGGTTGCATGAAACGATGACACACGTGGGTCCCAAATGAATTCCAGAATCCTGACTGCAGGCACTTCCCTACCTTGGTGTCAAATGCATGACAGAAAGAGAAACTTCTAAACACACGCTCACCATGTCAGCTATAACAGCCATGGTTAGAACAAAGATGGCTGCCATGGCCCAGGTGTTTCTTGCCCACCGAGTGCGATCGATCCACATTGAGAAAGATACCAATCTCTTAGAGAACATCTGGGAGAAAAAAAAAATTGTGGTAAAGAAAAAAAAATCCTGCAACTTTTGTTATTAAACTGATCTTGGATCCTAGTTTGCATATGATAAAAGGTCAAAAAGCAAAACTATCACAATAATAATTAAAATGGCAGGTGAGTCATCATGAAGTTGGACTTTGAAAGTTTTAGCGAGTTCATTGAATGGGCTCAGTATGAAGAAATAGTTTATATGTCTAACTAGATTGACAAGCTAACAGCTAGTCTAAGCATGGAGTGCAGCTGTCCTAAAACATCTTTAAATTTTGTAATTAAATAAAAGATAAATAAAATAACATTTCACAATAGTTCAAGCAAAAGCCATTTTGAAAACCTTTAAAGCACTATTATTTAACAATACACTATTATTTACATACAATTATATGGTTATCATCGCAGCAGCAGGTCGCTGTAGCACTCCTTGTGGATACGGGGCCCTTCCAATAGAAATATTATTTTCAAATAAAGCAGTTGTGTAAAACTTACAATATAAATGTTTGTAATACAATTTAGCAGCAACCAATAGGCTTTCTTTTTAAACTTTGGATTTCTTAAAAATAATTGTTTCAAACCACTTTGGTCGAGGCCATGCACATACTAGCTGTTAGCTTATCAATCAGGTCAGAAACTTCTTTTCTCAAAATTTAGGTCCTCCAGTTTCAACAGAAAATATCCACAAATTCTACTCCAAAAGATCTGAACTATCCAGTTAAGTCAAAATCAGATGTTTGTTTTTTTACTTCCTCACCCTTGGGAAGATAGCAGCCAGGGAGCAAACGGTGAGAATTAGCAACAACACTTGTCCAACTGCAAAGGTCACATAGTTCACGAACAATCTGGAGCAAAAACACAACGATTAAACACGGTTCTTCTAACAAAAAATAGCCACATAAATTCATCCAAGCATGTTTACGTGGCTTTTTAAATTTTACAGATTTTTGTATTGAAATTAAGCTTCAGATGAAACGACGACGCTGACTCACAGAGGGTCTATAAACACCTCCATTGCTGTGATGAAGAAGAGCACGATGACGCAGCAGCTGAAGGCGGCGCCGCTCCGCTTCTCCTTCTCTGAGGAGTAGTGCTCCTCTAGCTTTCCGTCCACAAAGCGAAGGGAAAAGGCGTTGATTTGATGATCCTTCATTCTTCAGCAATGAGGTGTGAAGAATTTAAAAATATTGAAAAGGAACACTCAAGTACAGCTTTTAAAAAAGATCTAGTTCAAGTTTTACGGCTAAAGTAATTTTTTATTTTATTTTTTCTTACATTTGCTGAGATTCCCTGTCCAGAAGCTCCTGCTGCAGTCGCTTGTTGATCCCTTGTTCTTCCGTCACCTTATTCCTCTGTCATCATCCAAGACAAAAACAGAAATCAAAGATGGATTAGATCATTTTGTCATCTAACACAATGTTAGAGTTGAGAAAAATGCCTTCACATAGTTGCATGGTTGTGCCATGACATGTGCAGCTGACGTTCACTGATCAGCCTGCAGGGTTTCAAACCAGAAATGCATCGTGCAAGATATGTATACGCGTAAAAAAGGAATAAATAAGTCGCTAAATTTGACAAACTCAAAATAGCAGAAGGGAAAGCAGCAAATTTAGATAATGAGATTGATTCCATGACAACTTTTTGTGTTTAGGACATCACAAGCTCAACAGATGATACCACTTTTCAGCAACAGAAGTAGGCGAGGACGCTAGATCTACCTGGACTAATTCTCCACTGTTTATAATGACTTAACATGCTATAGTAACTGTTTTTAATTCCCCTTTTCCACTGTCTTTAATGGTTTCAAGATTCATTATTAAAAGGACAGTTTAGCTCCTAGAATTATTGGGACACTCAAACCCCTCCACCACGGTAAGGTGGCAGCCCAGGGAGGGGCTGTCAGGCTGAAGAAAGAGTCCTATCAGGTCTTTTTGGCCTGTGGGACACCAGATGGAGCTGATAGGTGCGGCAGTCCAAGCGGAATGCAGCTCGGGTGGTCGCAGAGGCAAAAACTCAGGCATGGGAGGAGTTTGGTGAGACCATAGAGCAAGACTTTTGCACGGCTTTGAGGAGATTCTGGTCCACCATTCGGCACCTCAGGAGGGGAAAGCGGTGCGCTACCAACACTAGTGGGGACGGTGTGCTGCTGACCTCTACTCAGGACGTTGTGGATCGGTGGGCAGAATACTTCAAAGACCTCCTCAATCCCACCGACATGTCTTCCAGTGAGGAAGCAGGGTCTGGGGACTTTGGGTTGGCCTCTCCAATCTCTGGTGCTGAGGTCACTGAGGTAGTTAAAAAGCTCCTCTGTGGCAAGGCTCCAGGGGTGAATGAGATCCGCCCGGAGTTCCTTAAGGCTCTGGATATTGTGGGGCTTTGTTGGCTGACGCGGCTCTGCAATATCGCGTGGACATCGGGGGCAGTCCCACTGGACTGGCAGACCGGGGTGGTGGTCCCCTTATTTAAAAAGGGGGACCGCAGGGTGTGTTCCAACTACAGGGGATCACACTCCTGAGCCTTCCTGGTAAGGTCTATTCAGGGGTTCTGGAGAGGAGGGTCAGTCGGATTGTTGAACCTCAGATTCAGGAGGAGCAATGTGGTTTTTGTCCTGGCCGTGGACCACTGGACCAGCTCTATACCCTTAGGGGGATCCTGGAGGGTGCGTGGGAATTTGCCCAACCAGTCTACATGTGTTTTGTGGATTTGGAGAAGGTGCTGGAACGCGTCTCTCGGGGGGCCCTGTGGGGGGTTCTCCGGGAGTATGGGGTACCAGGCCCTCTGATACTAGCTGTTAGGTCCCTGTATGACCGGTGTCAGAGCTTGGTCCGCATTGCCGGCAGTAAGTCGGGCTCGTTCCCAGTGAGAGTTGGACTCCGCCAAGGCTGCCCTTTGTCACTGATTCTGTTCATAACCTTTATGGACAGGATTTATAGGCGCAGCCAAGGTGTGGAGGGAGTCCATTTTGGTGGCCTGAGGATCAGGTCTCTACTTTCGCAGATGATGTGGTCCTGTTGGCTTCATCAGAACGTGATCTTCAGCTTTCGCTGGAGCAGTTCGTAGCTGAGTGTGAAGCAGCTGGGATGAGAATCAGCTCCTCTAAATCTGACACCATGGTCTTAAGTCGGAAAAGGGTAGAATGCCTTCTCCGGGTCAGGGTTGAGGTCTCAAGTGGAGGAGTTTAAGTATCTCGAGGTCTTGTTCATGAGTGAGGGAAAGCTGGAGCGCGAGATAGACAAGTGGATTGGTGCTGCATCTGCAGTGATGCGGGCGTTGTTCCGGTCTGTCATGGTGAAGAGAGAGCTGAACCAGAAGGCCAAGCTCTCAATTTATCAGTCGATCTACGTTCCTACCCTCACATATGGTCACGAGCTTTGGGTAGTGACCAAAAGAATGAGATTGCAGATACAAGCGGCTGAAATTAGTTTTCTCCGCATGGTTGCTGGGCTCTCCCTTAAGAGACAGGGTGAGATGCTCGGTCATCCGGGAGGGGCTCGGAGTAGATCTGCTGCTCCTCCACATTGAGAGGAGCCAGTTGAGGTGGCTCAGGCATCTGATTAGGATACCTCCTGGACTCCTCACTGGTGAAGTTTTCCAGGCATGTCCAACCGGAGGGAGACACTTTGGAGGGTCTTAGTCTCTCGCCTGGCCAGGGAACACCTTGGGGTTCCCCGGAAGAGCTAACCTAAGCGGCTAGACAGAGGGAAGTCTGGGCTTCTCGACTTAGGCTGCTGCCCCCACGACTCAACTCCAGATAAGCGGAAGAGAACGAAAGGATGGATAGATGGATGAATTAAAATAAAGTAGGGCAGCCATGTTGAATTCTTGGAACCAGAGTCTGCAGACTCAGAATGCAGGACTAAGAGAACAGATTGCTTTATGCAGAAAGCACAAACATGGGGCGGTGGTAGCTCAGGAGGTAGAGTGGGTTGCTCAGTAATTAGAAGGTTGTAGGATCCCAGTTCCTGTTGTTGTGTCCTTATTTGGGCAAGAAACTTAACCCACCTTTCCTGCTGGTGGTGGTCAGAGGGACTGGTGGTGCCTGTGTACGGCAGCCTACCCCAGGGCAGCTGTGGCTACATTTTAGCTCATCACCATCATTGCATGAATGATACACTGTAGTGTAAAGCACTTTGAAGTCCTCTGACAGGGTTATTATTGTTAACAAAATAACGGAAACTAGAACGATACATTTTTTCGTTAACTGAAATAAAAATAAAAACAAATATTTGAAAAACAAATGAAACTGTAATGAGCATTAACAAAATTAACTAAAACTAACTGAATTTATACAGAATATTAGCTTAGTTTTCATGATTATGTCTTGTTCATAATTTCCAGTTGTTTTTATTTTTCGTCTTGTCAACGTAGAGCGTCATGTCGGCAAAGGGTTGGGAGGAAGCGACAGAGTCCAATTTGGGATTACTTTGATTATGACTGTGTTTTAGGTAAAAGCAGGTGTCTTGTAATAGAACAAGATCAAATATGTGGGGCATTGAGAAAAACAACCCACAAATCTGAAGGTGCATTTGAAAAGCTCACACAAGATGGCTGACCTAGCTTTCATCAAAAAGGTTTAGGAGCATGAGTCCCCGTCCGCCTGAAGATCAGAGGGATTTTGTTACAACAATTTCCATTCTTTTATTCATTCTTGTCACTGATAACTAATCTTCCTAAAAAGACTAGAACTGTAACAGAAACTAAGCATTTTGAAAAATATAGAAACAAAACTAAAACTAACAAGCAAGTTGTAAAAACTTATTAAAACTAAATAGAATACAAAATTTGACAAAAAATTTCTATAGATAACTAATATCACAAAAAAGACTACAATTATTATGGAAACTAATAAAAACTAAACAGAAACTAACCATTTTTAAAAAATAGAAACAAAATTAAAGCTAACAAGCAAGTTGTAACACTCATTAAATCTAAATAAAATAAAAAATTTGACTAAAATCTCTATAAATAACTGATATGACAAAAAAGACTAAAACTGTAATGGAAACTAATAAAAACTAAATGGAAACTAATTATTTAAAAAAAATCTAAACTAAATAAATATTAACAAACACGTTTTAAAACTCATTAAAACAAAAAAAAATAAAACATTTGACAAAAAATTTCTATAGATAACTAATATTACAAAAAATACTACAACTATTATGGAAACTAATAAAAACTAAACAGAAACTAAGCATTTTCAAAAAATAGAAACAAAACTAAAGCTAACAAGCAAGTTGTATCACTCATTAAATCTAAATAAAATAAAAAATTTGACTAAAATCTCTATAAATAACTGATATGACAAAAAAGACTAAAACAGTAATGGAAACTAATAAAAACTAAATGGAAACTAATTATTTAAAAAAAATCTAAACTAAATAAATATTAACAAACACGTTTTAAAACTCATTAAAACAAAATAAAATAAAACATTTGACAAAAAATTTCTATCGATAACTAATATTACAAAAAATACTTCAACTATTATGGAAACTAATAAAAACTAAACAGAAACTAAGCATTTTCAAAAAATAGAAACAAAACTAAAGCTAACAAGCAAGTTGTAAAAACTCATTAAAACTAAATAAAATAAAATCTTTGACGAAAAATTTCTATAAATAACTTATATTACAAAAAAGACCTAAACTATAATGGAAACTAATAAAAACTAAACGAAAATTAAGCATTTTCAAACAACAAAAACTAAATAAAAATTAACAAACAAGTTGTAAAAACTCATTAAAACGAAATAAAATAAAAAAGTGGACAAAAAATTTCTATAAATAACCAATATTACAAAAAAGACTAAAACTATAATGGAAAATAATAAAAACTAAATGAAAATTAAGCATTTTCCAACAAAAAAAAACACTAAATAAAAATTAACAAACAAGTTGTAAAAACTCATCAAAACTAAATAAAATAAAAAATTGGACTAAAAATTTCTATAAATAACTAATATTACTAAAATGACTAAAACTATAATGGATACTAATAAAAACTAAACGAAAACTAAGCATTTTCAAAAAATAGAAACAAAACTAAAACTAACAGGCAGGTTTATAAAAACTCATTAAAACTAAATAAAATAAAAAATTTGACAAAACATTTCTATACAAAACTAATATTACAAAAAAAAAAGACTAAAACTGTACTGGAAACTAATAAAAACTAAATGGAAACTAAGTATTTAAAAAAAATCTAAACTAAATAAAAATTTACAAACAAGTTGTAAAACTCATTAAAACTAAATAAAATAAAACATTAGACAAAAAATTTCTGTAAATAACTACTATTACAAAAAAGACAAACTATAATGGAAACTAATGAAAACTAAGCATTTTCAAAC